ACGTGTGATTGCATAATAAGCCAACGGTGAGTTGAGGATTTATTTAACGACCAATGATCTAAGTATATTTTTTGTTTGTTTGTTGAAGATCAATTGTTTTTAGAAAACAACACAATGATTATCTTTAATTGAGATACATATATTTTTTTTTTATTACTTGTATTTATTTAATATTGCAGCAAAGTCCTGCAAGATGATTATTATTTCTCTAAATCGATATTTCAGATCTGCATATCTGGATAACACTTAATATCAGATTGTCCATTTTAAAGTGCATTTTGGTGCAAAACATTTTGTTCAAGTACTTTATGATAAACTTTGTATTTTATCAAAAAGTTCAAAAAAAAAATCCGAAACAAATATTATTCCCATTTGGCGCCCTTTCTTCAAATCCTTCCAAATTTTCGGTATTAGATTTCTGTAAAGTTCAAAGTAAATCAATCTGTATATATAATAGTGATCAAAAGTTTGTTTTTTAAAAGGTATAAGTATTAAAATAAAATAAGTGTGTTGTAATTTTGAAAACGATATGCGTTTTGAATCTAAGTTTGACTATGTAGTGGAAAATACGCAAATTCGGTTTCAAACAAAAAAAAGTATAAACAATTAAAATAATTAATTATTATATAAAAATATTACTATTTGATTGAAACATAAATAATTTCCAACAACTCAACACAGTTTTAATTTTCTCACAAATACAATATTTGTATAAGATTTTTACTCATTGCTTAAAGGTTTTATGTTTTTTATATATTTCTTGTGATTTATTTACTAAAAAATCGTCAAACTAATGCTCAAAAAGTATGGACTGCTTATTAAATTTGTATCTAATTTTTTTAATATTTAATTACTAATTTCTCTATTTTATTATTTGTTCACGCTTTCTGTTATTTTTTTATATGGATATACAGATATTTTTTTATATATTATTATACTCAGTAATTCTTGGTATTGTTTACAATCATTTTTATTTTTAAGTGTCCAAAATAATTATGTAAAGAGCATAAATTCTTCTATACGACATTTTCTTCATTTTGCCCGTAATTTGTATCAATAAGACCACAAAACAAACTAAAATTTCGCGCCGTCTTTTAATAATTCATATGTACACCTTTTTTGATTAATACAACAAGCCTTATCATTTTTCACAGACACTAAGAAGCTGATATCAACAATAGACCATCGACTTCTATTGCTTTTCTTATCAAAAAATCAGTGATATCTTATTTAATATTACGAGATGTGTGTTTTAATATTAAAAAACATTTGTTAATGCCAACAATCAGATAGGACGTCCTCGTCTTCGGCTGATGACGGACGCAGTATCATAATTAGAACAAATATAAAATAGATTTTTTTGTAATATAAAATATATTTTGGAATAAAGTATGGTGTGAAAATTTTTATCGAATTGTAATAAATTATTTGTAAAAATGAACAACGAGAAAAAGGAAGAAGCTTTAAATGGTGTGCAAGATGATAAGACGAATCATGAGATGATTTGAAGAAAGATACAAACAGATGGAGATTACGAAGAGACTTCTTGTGGGATGGGTTTCTTCATGGACCATTTTTACAAAGGTAAAATTAATAATTAATTTTCTAAGACATTTTCACCTTGATGCACCGGTCGAGGTGTGAATAATATATATTATTATTATTATTAGGTTTGCAAATAAAAAAGCCTACGTAGTTCTGTATGGAGTTGTCGGTTGCATATATTCAGCAACTTATGCATATTTTAATGGAACCATCACGACACTTGAAAAACGATTTAAAATTCCCAGCAAAACAACAGGTATAACTTTATTAATAAAATTAAAGATTGAATTTGCGATATTGTATTAAGTAGATTTTTCTATTAATTTCCAGGTATAATAACAGTCGGTAACGATATTAGTGCCTTATTTGCTTCTATGATCGTGAGCTATTATGCTGGAAGAGGACACAGACCTCGATGGATTGCCCTAGGGCTTTATTCCGTGGTATTATTCTGCCTTCTGACGGCTCTGCCTCATTTGCTGTACGGCCCTGGACAAGATGCCCTTCGACTCACCACCGAATATGGAGCTGTCTACGATCAAAATGCCACCATTGAAGTTCTTAATAAACAGAAGAGGAAAACTTTGTGCCACACTGATGGTAAACAGACACAAATCCTAGATCAGTTGATACAACTGTAATATTTATCTATGTTTCATGTCCATGGTTTCTAAGATCTGAAACCCACAATGTCCTTACCTATTTTATTCATTATTATTTATAAAATAGGCGAAGGAGTTGAATGCGAAACAGAAGAAGGGAGCATCGCACCTCAAATAATACTATTTGCTGCCCAATTAATTTCTGGAGTCGGTGGATCTTTATACTACACTTTAGGTGTATCCTATATGGACGATAACACCAAAAAATCTAAAACACCAGCACTGATAAGTAAGACAACATGTATATACATTATCCAAATTCCATCCTGCTTATACACTATCTTGTTATTTTATCTAGGTTTTTCTTATTTTCTTCGTATGCTCGGACCTGCAACCGGTTATGCCTTGGCTAGCGTCTGTCTAAAGTTCTACATTTCGCCAACGTTGACGCCAACAATTGATAATAATGATCCTAGATGGTTAGGAGCATGGTGGTTAGGTTGGTTGATACTAGGATCAACTTTAATATTTTTTGCAACGTTGATTGGATTGTTTCCTAAAATTCTGCCAAGAGCTGCAATGAGAAAAGCTATCGCCGCGGAGAAATTGAAACATGGACTAATCACGGAGGTTGAACCAGAAATTCCTGCATCTTTCAAGGGTAAAACTAGTAAAAAATATTTAAATCATATTTGCTTATGTTTTTCATATTTTAGATATGATTGTCACTTTCAAACGGTTGCTGTATAACAAAACGTTGATGTTAAACAATTTGGCATCAGTATTTTACTTTTTTGGGTATATGGCATACTGGATTTTTTTGCCCAAATATATAGAAACCCAATACAGACAAAGTGCTTCAATTGCAAGTCTCGTTACTGGTACTGTAGGATTGGTATTTTCGGCATTTGGAATTTTGTTAGCTGGCCTGGTTATATCGAAATTTAAACCGAGTGCCAGGTAATATAATAAATTAAAATTATGTGCAATACATTTTTTAAAAAAATATTCATATTTAAGAGCGATGGCTGCTTGGAATGTTCTTGTTGGAGGTCTATCCGTCGTGTGGATGATTCTTTTCGTGTTCCTTGGTTGTTCAGCTAATGACAATAATATTATTATGAATCCTGGAGTTGGGTATGTAATAATAAATATTAGATATATTTTCTGTAAATTGAAGACTAATATTAGATCACTAACCCTTTTTTATTTTTTCAGTAATGATTCTCCATTACAATGTAGCGCATCATGTTCTTGTGATTATGTACCATATTCACCAGTATGCTCAGCAGATGGTATTACCACTTACATATCAGCATGCCATGCTGGTTGCCATGACCAAATAAGGTTGAACGACGAAAAGGTACTTGAACAAATTTATACCCATTTATTTTCAAGTAAATAATTCTACATTTTTCTTCAGATGTTTGTAGAATGTAGTTGCATCAACTCCACTTTGTTAAACACGACAGCAACTTTCAATACCGACCCCACTCCTGGATATGATCCATCTGATAACAGTTGGGGCTGGGCTATGCCTGGAAGTTGTCCAGTTGATTGTTCTCATCAATTTTATATATTTCTTGGAGTCGTTTGTTTGATGAAATTTAGTGGAGCAACTGGACGTGCAAGCAATTTTCTTGTTTCTGTCAGGTAAGGTGATGAATGACATGTTTGAAAAATTATGATTAATCCAAAATTTTTCAGATGCGTGGAAGAGAAGGACAAGCCTGTCTCCATGGGTTTCGGGCTTATGGTGATGTCACTGTTCTCGTTTGTACCATCTCCAATATTTTTTGGTGTTGTGCTAGGTAAACCAGCAACAACATACCTTAATATATATAAAATTAACCATATTGTTTTATCTTTTAGATAAAACTTGTCTGGTTTGGGGTAAAACGTGTACAGGTACTGGAAATTGTTGGTTGTATGATGTGGAATCTCTAAGGTACATCATGAATTTGACAGCAGCTGCCTTTGTTACTGTTGGCACTTTATTTGATGTTGGTGTTTGGTACAGTGTGAAAGATTTAAAAATTTACGACGACGATGAAGAAGTTGTAAACGACGACAAGAAGAACCAGCAAATGAAGGTTCTTCATAATGGAAAGCAAGAAAGTCCACAAGTTGTAGCAAATAACGTGATAAAAGACAATATTCAAAAAGATGAAATGGAACATTTATTAAACAAACAGAATGGTCACAAAGAAAACAACAGGCAAGATGAATTTAGGGACGTACAAGAAAGTAAATCGTAATTAAATTGGATAATTTATTTTTATGTACACAAGTTAATTTATGTATATATAAAAATATATATGTCTAGTGTAACTATGCATCCATTACATTGATGGAGATATTGAAATGTACAATTTAATATATTGATAAATATAAATACAAATCGTTTTAGAAATAATATTAGGTGTTAATATAGTTCTAGTTTGGTTTTGTGATAATGAGATTTTAATGTATATTTAATTGATGACGAAAATAAATAAAAATATAATAAAAACGAGTCTTCTATATATTTTATATGATCATGATAGAAAAAGATAGTTAGATTTCTTACTGAAAAATGAAGTACATCTAATACATGTGTTAAAAATACATGTAGAAAAATAGTAGATTTCATTATTACTATTATATACATCATTGAGATTTCTCTCGGCCAAAATAAAGATATAAAATCAATCAATACAGACGTAGGACAAACTAGTATCTTCAATCACATATTTATTATATCTTATCATAAGCAGATACGGAGACTTTTAGAAAAAATGTGAACAATTGTAATTTATACTTCTAGTTTAAAATAATAAAAGCAGTTAGCATGATACTCTCGACGTTTATCGTGGGTTGTGGCCTTTATGCGAATAAAAATTATTAATAAAATTGTATCTGTGCGAACAAGTCGAGTGTTTTCAGTGCTAAATGATTCGAAATAAATATAAAAGTTAGTAAAAATGGAAAAACAGGATCGTAAGGATGATGAAGACAATTTTAAAAATAAGTTGCACGTAGAACACGACGAATTGTTAGCAAAAAAGGAGAATTTTGATGAAAAAGATGAGTTTGAAAAACGTTTTAAAGATATGCCTTTGACAGATGATACCACGTGTGGTTTTGGGGTCTTCAAAGGCGCTTTTCTACAAAAGTACGGTAGAAAATTTTTATTTATTTTATTTAAAATTTAATTTTACTTTCCAAATTAATTTCTAAAAAAATGTCTCAAATAAATCCTGATTTTTTGTGATTCCAATTCAATTCAAAAATTCAATTTTTAATACACCATTTAAAGAAATTTATGACCTGTTACTTTACTACATTCCCAAATATTCCCAAATAAATTAACAAAAATAAAACAAAATTATATTTTTCTGCAATCGAATCAATAATAAATTGTCTCTTATTAACTTATTAAGTTTATATTAAGTTTGTTTTAATAATTTATTATTTAGTTTAAACAGTAATTTCAAACTAAGTACGTTCCATTTTAAGGATCTGTTAGAACATATTTAGAAGTAAACAAAGAAATATGTTTTAGAATAAATTTTGTTGAAATTAATAAATAATTCAATTTAGATCATTTCAATTAATATATTATTGTTTTAATTTTGGTAAATTATATATAATTTTATACCGAAACTATTTATAAATTTTGAAATATTTTCATACATTCTTCCCATTCTTACCAGAATTTATAATTTTGAAAACATATTTTTATATTTGTGAAACAGTGTACAAAAGTAGTTCATTATTGATTCATTAGATATTATTCATTATTGATTTCCATAGATATTGGCTGTAACTATTTTACTTATTTTTACAGATTTGCGAATAAAAAAGCCTACATAATATTTTATGGCGTAGTTGGATGTATATTTTCAGCTACTTATGCTTATTTCAATGGAACATTGACGACACTTGAAAAACGTTTTAAGATTCCAAGTAAAACATCAGGTTAGTGTAATGTAATTTTATTTTTATCTCTCAACAACAAATACGTCTAAGAAGTCTCAATGATTTCGCAAAATTGTTTTGTATTGACATAGATAGATATAGAAATAATTCAAGGATTGAGATTTATATAGAATAGAAGAACCACTTGAGATTGGATATAAATAATTATAATTTTATAAATAATAATAATTTCATCCAGGTATAATATCCGTTGGCAACGACATAAGTTCCTTATTTGCCTCCATGATTGTCAGTTATTATGGTGGAAAAGGACATAAACCAAGATGGATAGCCATGGGTCTATATTCCGTGGTCCTATTTTGCCTGATGACAGCCCTTCCTCATATCATATATGGACCAGGGCCAGATGCCTTGGGATTAACTTTAGAACATGGTGCTGTCTACGATCAAAATGCAACATCTGAAGTTTTGAATAAACAGAGAAGGAAGAATCTATGCCATTTAGATGGTGATTAAAAATTTTGTTAATTATAATATTGACAGATGGGTTTTATCTGTTGGTGATAAGGTGTGCTTATTAATAAATAATCAGCAAATCTTGAGATAGATATGTAATTTAGAATTATAAATGGCTCTTTACGTAGTTTATCGAAAAATCATAAATATTTTACAAATTTCTAAAATATTGCTTCAAGTCTGAGCATATAAAACTTAATTTTCCATGGTAGACCTGTCATCGTTATCAATGATAATTCTTTTAATATATAATTCTTTTTTTAATTTTATTTTTCTAGGAAGTGGTACCGAATGCGAAATAGAAGAAGGAAGCTTAGCTCCTCAAATTTTACTTTTTGTCGCCCAATTAATTGCTGGTGTTGGTGGATCTTTGTACTATACCTTAGGAATTGCATACATGGATGACAATGTGAAAAAATCGAAAACTCCAGCTTTAATAAGTACATAACAACCCAAAACAACATGGAAATGAAACTAAACAAATATTCTTTCTAGGCTTTTCTATCTTCCTAAGAACCCTTGGTCCAGCAGCAGGGTACGCTTTGTCAAGTCTCTGCTTAAAATATTACATTTCTCCAACATTGACTCCAATAATAGACAATACTGATATGCGTTGGTTGGGAGCATGGTGGATCGGGTGGATAATATTAGGAGGTCTTCTATTCATTTTTGCAACAATCATCGGAATGTTCCCAAAAACTTTACCACGGGCTGCTTTGAGAAAAACAATTGCAGCTGAGAAAAAGAATCTCACTGAGGAAAACAAATCTGGCATTGAACCTCCTGCATCACTAAAAGGTGAGCAGTATAATACGAAATAAAACTTTGTGTCTAAATGTAAATTATTATATATTTTTTAGATTTGCTGGCTGCCATTAAGCGATTGCTGTACAATAAAGTATTGATGTTAAATAATTTAGCGTCTGTGTTTTATATATTTGGATACATGGCTTATTGGATTTTTTTGCCTAAGTATATAGAAACACAATATAGGCAAAGTGCGTCCAAGGCTAGTCTTGTAACAGGAACTGTAGGTCTTGTTTTCTCCGCAATCGGTATTTTATTGTCAGGAGCTGTTATATCGAAATATAAACCCAGTGCGAGGTAAATAGATTAATAGAATTGATACCTGGTTGAAAAAATATTAAAAATTATCATTGTTTTATAGAACATTAGGTGCTTGGAATGCGTTTATAGGCTTTTTATCGGTAGTATGGATGGTACTTTTTGTATTTCTTGGATGTCCCGCAAACGACAACAATATTGTAATCAACTCTACCTCCACGTGAGTGTTTTTCAAAGTCAGAATGATTGACTCTATTGGAATCACTATGAAATATTGTATTTTCAGTAATAATTCAGTCTCAACTTGTAATTCGAATTGCAAATGCGACTTCGTTCCGTATTCCCCGGTTTGTTCTGCAGATGGAGCAACTACTTTCATCTCGGCTTGTCACGCCGGTTGCAGCGATCATTTCGAAGAAAATAACAAAAAAGTGAGCAGTTTCTTGAACAAAATTCATAATATCAATTAATAATTGATTTACTAATTGCAGATCTTCACAAACTGCAGTTGCATTGATGCGGCGAAATTTGATAAAGGCTCAATATTCTTTGAGAAAATTCCTAGCGAAGTGATCAAACAAAATATCGGTAACGAATCTGGATTTGCAATTCCAGGAAGTTGTCCGGTGGATTGCTCAAAGCAATTTTACATTTTCCTTGCCGTCGTTTGTTTAATGAAGTTTTGTGGAGCTACTGGTAGAGCTAGCAACTTTTTATTATCCGTCAGGTAAAAAAAAATTATATACAAACTCATTTTTAGTATAAAGTGCAATGTAATTAAAATATTATTATTACTTCAGGTGTGTTAAGGAAAAAGATAAACCTGTGTCGATGGGTTTTGGACTGATGATAATGTCCTTGTTTGCATTTGTACCGTCACCAATATTTTTTGGAGCAATTCTAGGTAAGCATTTTTCAAATGCGTGGCCAATCAACCTAATCTTTAATTTGTTACAATAATAAACCGTTATTTTTTAGATCAAACATGCATAGTTTGGGGAAAAACATGTTCCGGAACTGGAAACTGTTGGCTATATGACGTTGAATCTTTGCGTTACATCATGAATTTAACGGCAGCTTCTTTTGTCACAATTGGAGTATTATTTGATGTCGGAGTTTGGTATTTCGTCAAAAATTTAAAAATTTACGATGAACCTGAAGATGACGACCAAGAAATGAATTCTTTGAAGACGCAAAAGGCGGATGGAGCTGCTGCCAACTTATTCCAATCGAATCTCTCTATACAAAGTCATATAAAGAATAGTACTTGAGGAATTTAAAATTAATTTAAGTTGTAATATAAAAAATGCAAACTGTATTAAAATTATAATAAATTAAATAAGTAGAAATTATAATAAATTTTTGGTTTTTGTTTTAAAATTCAACTTTAGAAATTAAAAGGTTTAAAATATTTTTTATATCCATTTCTGATACTAATAATTTTGTTTAATTAGCTTATTTCGCAATAACTAAAACTGTTTACGCGATTTTTATGCCATTTCCCATTTCATTAAAAATACATAAAAATTTTCTCTAGTTTCAACAATGAAAATCAAGTTTCTTAATCCACGTGCCTATTTATATAAATATATTTGAAATCCATATCTGATAAACGAGTATCTTTAATTGAATATTTATATCTAATCTTAGTCTCATGTCTACATAAAAAATCAATTTACACATCAATTCTAATATGACTATTAAATAAGAAAGACAGTTAGCAGAAAATTTATTGTGTATCCGAGTTTTATGTGATATAATAGAATAAAATTATAAAACTTAAACCAAGTGCAAATATTAAAATAAATCTGTGTGTTTAAATATATGTGTAACGTGATTTTGTGCTAAATGTTTATTTAAATAAATTGTCTGGAAATGTTAAAACAAAATAATAACGATACAGAAGAAAATGGTAGAAATAAATTGTACTCCGAACAAGATCAATTACTTTGGAAAAAAGGAAATTTCGACAATGAGAATGATTTTGAGAAAAGATTTAAGGAAATGCCATTGACGGAAGACACTACGTGTGGAATACCATTTTTTCAGAGGTACATTTGTAAAAATAAAAATAATAAATCTGTGTAAATTTTCATTTAATATTATTTACAGATTTGCTAATAAGAAAGCATTTGTAATATTTTATGGCTTAGTAGGATGCATATACACAGCAACTTATGCATATTTTAATGGAACGATTACTACTCTTGAAAAACGTTTTAAGATACCGAGTAAAACATCAGGTGAAGTTATTGTATTATCTAATAAAGTCCAAGGCGATTAAACGATAAAATGTCAATGATTTTTTAAATTAATAATCCTCATTACGTACACAGATAATAATTGTATTTTCCTACAAAACTCACTAATTAAATTGTGATAATGAACAAGAGTCCTTTTTAGTTTTTTAATTTAAAGTTTATATGTTTAAGGTATTATATCCGTGGGCAACGACATAAGTTCTTTATTTGCATCCATAATAATCAGTTATTATGCTGGAAAAGGGCATAAACCCAGGTGGTTAGCCCTAGGCCTCTATACCGTGGTTCTATTTTGTCTTATGACTGCTCTTCCTCACATCATCTACGGACCAGGACAAGATGCCTTAGGATTAACTTTGGAGCATGGTGCTGTCTATGACCAAAATACCACAATTGAAGTTCTGAACGAACAGAGAAAGAAGAATCTATGTCACTTAGATGGTAAACTTAGATTTTATTAATTAATAAATGAATTATCGGTTAATACGATGAGAAGTGATATATAATCAAGATCAATATGGATTAATTTTCAATGGTGCTGATTTGATGCTTTTATATGGCGAAGTATTTAGTAAAAAAAATATTTTTATATGAAACTTAATTAGGCTGACTAATATCTGAATAGATTTTGAATTATCAAAAAAGTGATGAATAAAAAAATATATTTTTAGGTAGTGGCACAAAATGCGAAGTAAAAGAAGGAAGTTTAGCTCCTCAAATAATACTATTTGCAGCACAATTTATATCTGGAATTGGTGGATCTTTATATTATACCTTGGGAATTTCGTACATGGATGATAATGTGAAAAAATCAAAAACTCCTGCTTTGATGAGTACGTAACGAATTAAATTACACACGTTAGAAATATATAATATATTTATATATTTTTCTAGGTTTCTCTATTTTCCTAAGAACCCTTGGCCCAGCAGTAGGATATGCCTTATCAAGTCTTTGCTTAAAATTTTTCATTTCTCCATCTTTAACTCCGGTAATAAATAATACAGATATGCGCTGGTTGGGAGCCTGGTGGGTAGGATGGTTAATTTTAGGAGGAATCTTGTTCATTTTTGCAACGATTCTCGGAATGTTTCCAAAAACTTTACCACGAGCAGCTTTAAGACGACAAATAGCACTCGAGAAAAAAAATATTGACGAGAACGAAACCAAAAATGATCCACCAGCTTCTATGAAAGGTCGTAACGGTGTGTTTTAAAATTTAATTATTTTTTTTATAATTTATTTTTGTTTTTATAGATATGGTAGTGACAATAAAACGATTAGTACGTAACAAAATATTAATGTTGAATGTATTTACGTCTGTATTTTATTTCTTTGGATATATGGCGTATTGGATATTTTTGCCAAAGTATATAGAAATACAATATAGACAAAGTGCATCTATAGCTAGTCTTATGACAGGAACTGTAGGACTTGTTTTTTCTGCGATCGGTATTTTATCATCAGGGGTAGTGATAACAAAATTGAAACCTGGAGGAAGGTATAATAATTAAAATATTAATTGTATATGTTGATATATAATTTTTCAATTTGTAGAGCATTAGCTGGTTGGAACACATTTGTTGGCGCTTTATCTGTAGTCTGGATGGTACTGTTCGTATTTCTTGGATGCTCTGCAAATGACAATAACATTGTCATTAATTCTACGCCCACGTGAGTGATTTTTCACATCAGACTACTCAACTTTATTGGAATATCTATATAAAATTGTTTTTTCAGTAATAATTCAGTTGCTACTTGTAATTCGAATTGCAAATGCGATTTTGTTCCATACTTTCCGGTTTGTTCCGCAGATGGAGCGACTACTTTCATCTCGGCATGTCACGCCGGTTGCAGAGATCATTTTGAAGACAACAACAAAAAAGTTAGCACATTATTTTAACAAAATTTATAATATCAATTAATAATTTGATTTACTACTTGCAGATCTTCACAAACTGCAGTTGCATCGATGCAGATAAATTTGACAAAAACTCTATATTCTTTGACAAAGTTCCTAGTGAAGTGGTGAAACAAAATATTGGTAACAAATCTGGATTTGCAATTCCTGGAAGTTGTCCAGTGGATTGCTCAAAACAATTTTATATTTTCTTAGCTGTCGTTTGTTTAATGAAGTTTACTAGCGCTACTGGTAGAGCCAGCAATTTTCTAATCGCCGTCAGGTTAGTAAATACCAACCAACTTTTTCAACTCTGACACAAAACATTATATTAACATTAAATATTTTTTGGCAGATGCGTGGACCCGAAAGACAAACCCATGTCAATGGCTCTGGCTCTGATGATATTCTCCTTGCTTACATTAATTCCTGCGCCAATATTTTTCGGAGCTATATTAGGCAAGTACAATTGTTTACAATATCTAATCTAATTTTATAAAATTTAATATATATTGTACGTTTTAGATAAGACATGTTTAGTTTGGGGCAAAACCTGCACAGGAACTGGAAATTGCTGGTTATACGATGTAGAATCCTTACGTTATCTTTTGAATTTAACTGCAGCTGCTTTTGTTGCAATTGGTACATTATTCGATGTTGGAGTTTGGTATTTTATTAAAGATTTAAAAATGTATGACGAAGACGATAATGTTAAAAGTGATTTAGAAATGAAGAATATAGGTAGTAAAAAAGATCAACGTAGTGTATTGCAATAGAATGCTAGTACAATGGAATCTCTCTTTACACAGTCGTGTAAATAGTAGTT